GAACTTTTCAACGACATTCTAATTTATTGAGATGCACCTGTATATGTGGTACATTGAGAGCAAATTGTTCCATACCGTCAAGTGAGAAAATGTGAGCTTTATTGGTTTCTTTAGGTTGGTTGTCTCATAGTTACTAAAAGTGGCAGTTACTACTTTTGAATTGATCTTGAAAGTTTGCTTTTGCTGTGTCTCTAAATGGTTAAAACAGCAGTTGAGTAATTCCTCCAAACCTTTGTAGCTGAGGAGAGCTGCAGTCGTAAAGCCTGGTTGATGCACAAAGACAGTAAAAATCGTTTTATACTGTACAATAAAAAAAACTTGATCACTTTTTTATGTTGCATTTATAAGAATGTGTACCGAGGTGTGTATTTCCTGTTGCTGTGTCCCAGTGGGAGGTCAATTGTGCTCCACTAGTATTCATCATGAAATGACCCTCAGGTGGAGAATTGCCCATCTTTACTAACATTTCCACATCTGGAGGGCAAAAACCATATTACAAATATAAAACAGATTCATTGAAGCAGATGTTACTGAAGATGGTACTAGTGGTACTGAAGTGTAATGTTTAGTGACGTATTTCTTACCAGCTTTAGCGCATATTTTCCTGGTTCGGCTTGCTGACAGCAGATGTCCGATCAGTTTTAGTATGATTACCACAATCCTAAGAAATGCTGAGACTATATCATAGAGAGATTTGTGGATCAAGATGATGTTTAAAGCACACATTTGAACTCTGTGAATATCTGCAAGACACTTTACCACTAGTGCTGTCAATCGATTAAAAAAATTAACTAATTAATCACACATTTCTTCTGAGATTAATCGCGATTAATCCCACCTAACATTAACGTTTTAAATATACTTTTATATTGCAATAATTTCACATTAAATCTTAAAATTAATGTACAAACAACATAAAGACAGTATATTTTTAATATTTATTTTATGGCATCTTTTTTATGACTGAAGGACAGTATCACTGATACCAATACTACTGATGTCTCTATAAAATTGTTTTCCCCCCCTAATATTTAACCATTGACAATAGCGGACGCAAATATCTTTGTGAGAGAACGCAAAAGTTTTGCGAGGGAACGCAAAGTATCTCGAGGGAACGCCAAAATGTTGCGAGTGAACGCAAAACATTTCAAAAATATTTTTTCCTACCTCCCGGAATTGTTTCTACTCACCCTGAATTTTTTCCCACCACCATGTCCCTTTAAGGGCTCTGTATTTTTAGGCTTTGCTAGTGATCGATAGATAACAGATATAGCACACTATGTCAGAACAGTGTGAAGGTCTGTCATGAATTTAGTGGTTATACATTCTTAAAAATAAAGGTGCTTCACGATGCCATGGAAAAACCTTTTTGTCTAAATGGTTCTCTGTGGAACCAAAAATGGTTCTTCTGTGGCATTGCTTGAAGAACCTTTTAAGCACCTTTATTTTTAAGAGTGTAGCTTGAAAGCTCTGGGAATTTTAAAATAAAAAATGTAGTCTAATAATTATAACAACAACAACTAATAATAATAAATGGGCTTTCTAAAGCCAACATAATAAAGTAAAACTTTTGACATTATTAAAAATAGCATTTTTTTTTTAAACTGTTTTATTTTTGCCATAAAAAGTGATTTAAAAATGTGTCACCTCCAAAAGTTTCTCTCCATCCACTTGTGTATTATTCCTGACAGACTCGCTCTGACTCGGTACCTGACAGCTGTTGTTTATCAAAGAGGTGAGTTTTGTGAGCTTTGGTGATGCCTACAGAAAAGATAAATCAGCATTCTGGTTAATTATGAATGACTGTAATATTCATATTCTGTATCAGTGGTCTAGTAAAAGTCACATACCTGAGATGCTTTACTCTCTCTTAATAATCCGTCACACTTAAGCTCTGAAAAACAAAACTAACATAATATCAATATCACATGAAAAAAAGTATGGCTGTGATTAGGTGATCACATCTGATATTCAGATCAGCAGCACGTGTTGCACAACAGCTCATTAAACAAGAATCAATAATATTACACTGAAAAAATAGTAACCTTACATAATATCACTGAATCAACAAATACATCCATTTATACCAACAAAACTAGTTTTAGGGGTTTGAACAGGTAGAAATAGCTCTTTAAGTGCATACTCTCACTAGGCACGGTTGCCTTGTACCAAACCCGAGCGCGATTATCCCCTCTTCCCGCTCCCTTGCTGTCCCGCACTCACACTGCATATAATGTTTTGGGCTGGAGCACATTTATGTCAATACAATGTTCCATAGCTGTTTTGTGCTCATGTTAAAACTAAGGCAACTGTTTTGTGTTATGAATTATGGGAAAGCATGAAATATAAGATATTTAGGAACCAAAATAAACTTTTAACAGAGAACTCTAACCTGTGCATTTCATTTGTTTGTGACCATAGTTGGTGAATCCTAAGCACAAACATTCAAGGCCGTCTTTGCTGTTTTTGCAGACTCCTCCTCCACATATAGATTTATCAACGTCACATACACCTTCAACAACATCAAAACAGCATTTTGGAGGATATTAGATTTCTCAAAAATAAACCGAAACTTCAATGTGTCAAAATGTGAACTTGAATGGTTTGAAAGGACCTACTCTCGCAGAGTTCACTTGTATCAGTGAAGTTAGTTTCTCCTGACTTTAGTCTGAATCCAGCATCACAGATGCAGTAGAAACCTCCAGCAGTGTTATGACATGATGCGTGTTTTCCACAAAAACTGGGATCATTGCATTCATTTCTGTCTGTAATTTAGGGACAGATAATAAACAAAACTCTCAACTGAAAACTCTCACATTAGACTGCAAGCAAACAGATGGCCAAAAAATACGTAGGATAAAATTGTTTGATACCAATACACTGAACTCCTTGTCCTGAATTAAATATTTATTTTCCATTGCTGGAAATGTAGCCAGTTGCACAAGTGCAATTATAACCTCCTTCAGAATTGACACATATTATATTAGGACCACAATCAGCGCCGCCAACCACACATTCATTGATGTCTGAAATGAGATGAACAGAGATTCAGATGTTTTCTCTGCTGCACAGAGATCATGTGAGATTCATCATATCATCATAGCATGTTTCTAGCATGAATTAGCTTGTTCCTAGCATGTTTTAATACGTTTAATACTTGACCCAAAACAGAAACCAGTATGCTGAAAGAAGATGAGGAGTCAAAGGTGAAGTTAATCAGTTTACAGAGAGTTTACTGAAAACAATGTTCTCCACACTTCCAAAGGCCGACTAAGAGGATCCAGCCTCAAACTAACTTGGGATACAGAAACACTAAAACTTACATGCATATGGATGATCAGTTGATGCCGTTTCTACAGTACAGATAATTCTAGCATCTTCTGATAATGGTATTATGTTCTTCACACAAATGTGGTTATTTCAAGATATTATCTTTGACACACTACATTCGCAAGTCATAAATCAGAAAACTATCATTCCCTATTTTTTATATAACATAAGAGGAGATGATTGTAAATCCACCACTTCACCACTGACTATTTTGCTATTATGTGTGAGTTGAGCCATGTTTTGGCCCATCCTAATCATATTAATGATTGCAATTATGCAATTATTGCATCATCCTAATCATGATGCAATTTCAATTTTTCCTTTCTCTTTGAAGTGTTACAAGCTCTTGGTGCATAAAGAAGATCTGTAAAGTTGCAAAGACTACTCAGCCCGCCGGCCGTTCCTCACTTTATCCCCCGGCCACTGCTCATTCAAGGCCGCCGTGTGTGACGCTGTGTTTCGTTGTGGAAGTGAAACTACTTTGTTTGGTCTTCCAAAAATGGACATGACTAGAAATCAGGGGTTAAACACATTTCATTACATCAAATACACAAAATAATGTTCTTTTTAGCAGCATCATATGACCCCTTTAATCTTAAAACATGTAGCCAAAATTCATTTGATTTATTCCCCACAACGGCTAAAATGCCACTTTTTTATTAGGAATAACAAAGACAAAATGGAAACAATTATCAAAGAAAGGAATAATTCTATTCAGCCAATTCACTTCACACTCATTGTTCATGACATTTGCATAATGCACCTGTCATTAGAGGGAACAACGACGTGTTATTTAATAACTATGCATTTATTACATGGACTGTCCATTTTCCCAGGGTCTAAACATATGTGGGAGTCCCTGCCAATAATATTTGATTGATCGAACATAATAAAGCTAGTTACACGTTACCCAAAAAAAGACCATTCTGTAATCATTTACTCACCCTCATCCAAACCTGACTTTCACTTTTTTTTTCTCTCAGATATTCAGAGAGGCTGTTTCCTCTCATTCCCATTTACTGTTTCGCTTTTTTTGAACAGTTTGAGTTTCTCCCTACAAACATCTGTTCCTACATTCAATCCTAAAAAGGAACTGAAATGTGACTCACCCAGACTCAGCAGATACATGTGCCTCATAGTCAAAGACTCGCAAATAGAAAAATAAAGAAAGAAAACGGCTTATGTTTTGATCCGGAGCAATTTCATACAAGAAAGTTCCTGAGACTCTTCAAACGATGACTGTCTCCAACTATCTTCGGTACTATCTTCAAGGCTAATAGTTACAGATCACTTCATCTAGAAAAAAAAAGGTAAATATTGTGAATTTTTTCATTTGAAAGCCTCCTTTTCACAGTCTTGCTTATAAGACTAGGTCTTGTGTCTCTCTCTCTCTCTCTCTCTGACTCTATTGCTGAAAAAGCTTGAAGTACCTGAAAGAGTTTTGTCAGTGCAGTCCAGCCCCCTGCTTTGGCTATAAAAATCCTTTGGTTAAACTCTAGAGAAAAAGGAACTAGATTATTATTAGATAGTGTCCAAAAGATGCTATTTTTTTTGTGGTGTCATAACTTATGTTATGAAATACGGGAAATTCATGTGATAACAGGTTAGGCAAAAGATTCTGTGAGATATGATTAGTTGATAATAGAAAAAAGTGTAGAAATACTTATGCAACAATATATAATCTGTTGTAAAAAAACAACAACTATAAAGCCAGACCCCCATATCATTCCTCTTTTCGGAAATGGCAAAGACTGATTCTTGTTTCTTGTTATTATGAGCTGAATTTATAGTGTGGAGCAGTGGCTTTCAAACCCTTTTAAGAGCGACCCTTTTTTTCCTTTTTAAATTGACAAGACCAATATTATTCAACCATGCACCTTTTGAAAATGTATATACAATTAAGTCACATATACGTACATTCTGCATAATCTGGTCCTAAGCTGGTTTGTAAGACGATAGGGCAACACACATGTCCGGAGAAGCATTCAACTTATTTCTTTCATCTATATTTTAGTTAAAATTGAGAATCTAGTTTCGCACATATAGGTAGATATAAAAGGTAGTATCAATGAAATGCTTGTTTTGCACGATGATTATTAGCTATATATAGTACAGCAGGCAATATTAATCTCTCTGCAACTGTATGTGCCGTTTTTCTTTGGCAACATGATATGGCACTTTATTATATGCCAAGTGTAATTTGTGATTGATATGCTCCTGCTGAGTACCTGAGCTGAGTACTGAATTTCTTGAGCCTTCCTCTGAAAAAAAAAGTTCCGCAAAATCTGCATGATGTGGACTTAGTGCTGGGCGATATGGCCAAAAAACATGATCACGATAAAAGTTTTCATATCAGTCGATATCGAGAATTATCACTATATATTTCAAACTTTATTACCTCAATTTTATGTTGAAATCTAATTATTCTGTTTGCGTTTGATTAAAATTACAAGAAAATTCTAATTCTAAAATTATGTGTGTACTTAAATGTCTTTCAAACTTTCATTTGCCAACTTTTCAAATGCATATTACACACACTAGTATGGCAGTATGGCCTGCATCCAAACAGTTTACGAAACCAAACTTCAAAAAATCATCTTTATATGATTTTTCATAAGTAGCACTGGTATATTTGTAGCAATAGCCAATAATAGATTGTACAGTTTGGGTTAAAATGATTGATTTTTCTTTTATTGAAAAAATCATTAGGATATTAAGTAAAGATCATATTCCATGAAGATATTATGTAAATTTCCTACCATAAATATATCAAAACTTAATCATATGACCCCTTTTAAGTAAAGATCATGTTCCATGAAGATATATAAATTCCCTACCATAAATATATCAAAACTTAATTTTTGATTAGTAATATGCATTATCAAGATCTTCATTTGGACAACTTTAAAGGTGATTTTCTCAGTATTTGGGTTGTTTTGGACCCTCAGATTTCAGATTTTCAAATAGCCTAGTTGTATCTCAGCCAAATATTGTCCTTTCCTAACAAACAATGCATCATGATGCAAACATGCAGCTTATTTATTCAGCTTTTAGATGATGTATAAATCTCAATTTAAAAAAAATGGACTCTTACGACTGGTTTTGTGGTCCAGGGTCACATATGGTCTTACTCCAGATTTCTGCTTTTGCTTTGCTGAACAAGAAGTATTGCTACAATGTTTGCATGCATCACCTTCGCTATCTTTTCTGTGGATCTCTGCTGTTTGAGCCAGAGTTGGACGGTTTTCTGCTGCTTCATTTGAAGGGGTCTCGGTATAAGGGCCTCTTTTTCTTGTGAAACAATCATAACTGGTACTTTTTGACTTTGGCTTACTCATGCTCAACATAAAACCCACCTGAGGGTCACGACCCAGGGTTTGAAAACCTGAGAGTTACTAACCAGCTGTATCACCATCTGCTATGGAAACTGCTCAGCATCTGACAGGAACGCCCTGCAGAGGGTAGTGAAGACGGCACAATGTATCACTGGAGCCAAACTTACTGCTGTACTGCTTCATATCACAAGGTGTGTGAAGAAAGCAACCTCCATTAGGAAGGACTCCTCTCATCCTTCCCACAACTACTTTAAACCCCTTCCATCGATGAAGAAGCTGAGAAGCATTCAGACCAGAATGTCCAAACTCACTCTCATATTCACACCTGGCCAAAATAGGTTGAAATAGGCTCATTCATTAATAATCTGAAACAAAATGAACTTGAAATGATCCTAGAGTGTGTCGATTTAAATTAAAACGGGAACTCATGATCACATCCTGCCTTTACAGAGGATTTATTGAGTATGGTAAGAAAATTGTCTACTACTAATAAATACTAACAAAACTTAGTACTAAAAAATATACACATACTTATTTCTGTATTATTTCTGAAGCAACAAATATAAAACATATATATTCTTTGTTAATTGGTTTTAATAAATATAGGCCCCTTGTCAACAACCAAATATTATGATACACTGTTGGTTGCTTGTTATTGGTGTAAATGCTGTACTATATTAATACACTGTGTTCTGTTATTGTGCTGTCCTTCCTCTTTCTTAGCAGCTTCTTGTGTACTTATCGCCTCTCTTTCATCTTGAGTGCTTATATAGCGTTTAATTTGAACCAGGAACTACCCAACAGCCACCTCTTCCTCCACAAAACCAACATGTTACGCCCCATCTAGGGTGAAGGCGCATCATGAAGGTGTACGAGGACACGGAGGAGTTTTGGAAAACGAATGAACAGTATTTTAATTAAACAATGATTTTACAGTACAAGAGGGGCAATTTTAGCTTCAGGAGCCGACAAGGCCAAAATAACAAAGAGAAAACAACTAATACACAAACCTCTAAATTCCCTAGGTCACAAAATAAAATAAAAATAAAATGCAATTACTTCCCTAACTTCCTATCCAAAAACAATAAAAAAAACAAGGTTCCAACAAAAGTGGCTTCGGTCTCCCTACCTCCCCAGAATATTATTATATACAATTATTTACAATGATAAGCGAACAGATCCGAACAGGGGCAATCCAGAATCATAGTCAAAGAACAGGCAGAAGTCAGTAGTAAGAATAAATGGGCAAAGCAAACTAACAAACAATCTCTCACCAGCTAACACTCGATTGAACACACACAGAAATTCTCAGTCTTACGAACACATGTAACTAACTAGCAGAGTCAAGGC